GCCCTGGTTAGAGTGTCGTTACATCACAGCTAACAGAAACCTCAAACTCTTGGGCTTACGTGATTCTCTTGTCTCAGCCTCCCAAGTAGTTGGGACTTAAGGCTCCCGCCACAACGCCCCACTATTTTTTTGTTGCAGTTGTCATTGTTGTTAAGCTGGCCTGGGTCAGGTTCGAACCCACCACCCTTGGTGCATGTGGCTGGTGCCGTAACCAACTTGCTGGGATTGTACTTTTGTCATTCATTGTTCTTGACCTTTGTGCATTTTTCAGGAAGTATGGGGTAGTTTATTGCTGATTTATAATGATAGTATATAAGGATATTAACCTTTGCCATTGCAATTTTTTTTTTTTTCCAATTTGACATTAGCCTTTTATTTTTGCTTATGTTTGGATTTTCTTGAGGGGATGAGGTGGGAGGAAGCAGGTTTTAAAAATAAGTAAGTCTCAAGATTAATTCTTTTTTTTGTTGTTGTTGAGACAGAGTCTCACTGTGTCACCCTCAGTAGACTGCTGTGGCGCCATAGCTCACAGCAACCTCAAACTCTTGGGTTCAAGTGATTCTCTTGTTTCAGCCTCCCTAATACTTGGGACTACAGGCACCTGCCACAACACCAGGTTATTTTTTTGTTGCAGTTGTCATTATTTAGCAGGCCTGGGCCAGGTTCAAACCCACCAGCCCTGGAGCATGTGGCCAGTGCCCTAACCATTTAAGCTACAGGGAGCCTTTTGCATTTATATTTTTTATTCGACTTTATAATTTAGAAGAATATGGTATAGAGAGGGATTTAACTTTTTTCTTATATAGTTTATCATTTTTACTTGTGCCATATTTGAATAATGTCCCCTTTTGTCATTGGTTTGATGTTTTAACATATGCCAGTTGTTTTGCTGTTGTTTGACATTTTTATCATATGCCTAGTATTTATTTTCCAGGCCTTGTCATATTTATCTATCATATTTCATTGATTTTAAGTCAGATATTTTTCTACATTTTAGCATCTGCTAATTTGAAATGTATCTTGAAATCAGCTATTGCCTGGGTTAAAGTTTTTCCTCAGAGAACACGTGTCTTCTTGTGCCAGTCTCTGAAAGGTCGGGGGGTGGGGGTGTGTGTGTGTTATCAACCTGAGTGTGCCCAGGCTAATTTTCTGGCTTGAGGTTTGCTTGGACTATGCTGGCAGTGTGAATTCGGAGTACAAAATTTGCAGGTGGGCTAGGATAGGAGTAGCGGTTCGCTCATCAGAGTTTTTTCCCCTCTTCCTTCCCACTGTGGAGAAGGCTGCTTTGCCATCTCTTCTGCCTGGGGGGATAGTTTCCTTTTGTCCTTCATCAAGGCTTTAACCGTTTGATGTCCCCACTTTTTGTAAGGGTCTCTGTCTTCTTTGAGACTACCTTTCCTGGTCATCTTTGTTTTTCATGGTATGTAAAATAATGGTGTCTCTTAGAAGTAATGGTGTCATTGATTGGACGAAGTATGATACTTTAGTAATTGTAACTTTATACTTTGCAATATATGCCAGTACAAATTCTCATCCCAGATGAATTTTGAAATGATTTACATTCCCCTGACACCCTCAACAAAACAAAGCAAAACAAAACAAACAACAATCCTAGGATTTTGGTATCACCTAATATGAAAGATTTGGTAAGACCCTTTTATTTTACATATAATTTATTCACTGTAGTAGTTTTATTTCTTCTTGGTTGTAAAACTTAGGCAAGAAGTTTAGTTCCTTATTAGCATACAACTATGCTAATACCAAAAGATAATTCATTTAAAACATAAAGAATCCTTTTATATATGGTTCATTGAAGCATTCGTTTTGCTGAATAGTTGTTTTATGTTGATCTCCTTTTAGTCCTTTTTAGAATTTTCCTTAAAAAGCCTCCAATTAACTGACAGATAACTAACTTTAAATTTTCTTTTGCTTCCTACACTCGCTTTGTTGTGAAGATTATCCGGCTGGTTAATCTTACTGAATGTTCCAAGTGCACTGTCATCCCTTGGGAAGGCCTGAGACTTGTGCTCACAGGCTGTGTCCCTTGGAGGCACTTGGCTGTGTGTGTTCAGTAAAGTTGAGCACTTACCATTACCTGTCTGTTCTTTCACTCCAGAAAGGAGTAATGCATAATTACGTTATGACTGTAAATTTATGAAGTTTACCAAGGATTCTTTTTTTTTTTTCTTTTAAAGATTTTCTTGTCTTCACAAAAAGTCCAGTGTAACTTAGGTTGCTGAGAAAACCCTCAGAAGCCATTCTTTTGCTCCAGTGATGGATGACAGAAAAATGATTCATCAACAGTTGCTCAGATAACAATTCTCGGATGTAAGGATCCATTAAAGACAATACACAGAACCAAAAGACAATGAAAAAAATAATCTGTACCATATTTGGATAGTACAGATGAAATATAAATTCTAAAAATGATGTAATGAAAAATTGCTCAGATCAGTTTAGTTACACAGTTGTTAAAGTTAGGTGTCATATCAATGAAGAAATACTAGTAGCATGCAAATGGTTGTTCTGTTTCTTAAAAAACTATTGTCAATGGGCTATTAAACTTGCAAATTTCTTTTTATTAATGTAGTATGTTCTTTTTATTCAGGTATGGACTTCTTGAGAAACCATAGTAATATGATTTTTAAGAAATTTATGTTCTACTTTAAATCTGAATTGTAGTTCTGAGCTGCCTTAATGCAGGGTCATTTGTATTTATTAAGAGGAGGTAACCAGGATCACTTATATTTCAAGCTGAATCTGAGATTTTATAAAGCCTTTAAACTATTGTTGGAGAGGCTCCTTGCGGCAGGAAGTGAACTGCACCTTACTTTACAGAAGTCCTACAAAGAGCTCTCCTAGCATGTCCATCTCCAGTAGGAGAGGGGAGGAAATGAAAGATTTTTTATTTTGTCGTCTGACGTGGCTGTGCAATTGCCTTGTTGCTGATGTTCCAATTAATGTGAGAACCAAAGTAGAGATTTTTCCTTTTTTTATTTTTTGGGTTTGTATTAATTTCACTTATACCAAAGTGTTTGAAAATATGAAATGTATTGTTTTTAGGCTAGAAGGCTACTTCATGAAAAGACTGCTCTGTAATAATTCACTTTGTGTACTATAAATTCAAGTTATCTAAATATTTTCCTAATACATGAACATACTGATTTTCTTCTTTTGTTATGTGGTAGAAACATTTTACATTGTTTACATAGTTCTCATGGAACATGGAATTTTTTGAAAGTGGCCTATGATACACATTTTTTGTGTATATATTCTAATTAGTGTGAATAAAGGAGTAGCATCAATGCATTTTTTTAAGAAGCAAACTTTGTATTTCTCTTGTCTTCCTTAAAAGTATTCCTATGAATTCATTGTTTATTCCCTTTTTGTTGTGAGTACCCACTAAATAGTGAATTCCTACGTTCAGCATTTGCTTCTAATGATAGAATTAGAACAGCACAATTTTAGGGCTGTAGTTGACCCATACAACAATCATTTCAATCACCTCATTGTACAGCTGAAGACAAGACACCAAATGCCTTTCCCAGATGGAGTGGTGTCAGATCTGGCTGGAATACGGTTTCCTTGATTCCCCTTCAGCTTGTGCTTCTGTATCCCAGGACTATTGCTTTTTACTTAATTTTCACTTAACTTCACAATACTGATGAAATAAAGAAAAACGAAGATTATTTATGTATACTTTAATAAAATCCAATTTGATTTTCCAGCTTATAACTGGTTTTGTTTGTATCACTCAGCCTGTGTCTTCCGAGTAATGGCGGAGGAGGGATACTTGGGCTAGTTCCACAGATGAAAGGTGTGGCATTGTCAGGAATCTTGCCCTTTCATTTTAACCTCAAGAAATAGAAAATAGGATTTTGTGGTGACTCTGCCCATGGATGTATGTATATCTGTATCACTGCTGAATCTCTCAACACAAGGTAGATCCCCTGAGGGTAGCATCCACTTACTAACATACTGTTCACTGTAACCAACATGCCTAGCACAGTCTTGCCATATTGTAAGGCACTTTCCAAATGTTTGTTAAGGAAGTGAATTTTTAAAATCAAAAGCCTAATTTAATAATCGGAAACATTCAGATCAGCAGTTAGCAAACTTTTAAAAAGCAGCAGAACCCTTTCTCTTTTTTTTTTTTTCAGACAGAGCCTCAAGCTGTCCCCCTGGGTAGAGTGCTATGGCTTCACTGCTCACAGCAACCTCCAACTCTTGGGCTCAAGCGATTCTCCTGCCTCCGCCTCCCAAGTAGCTGGGACCACAGGTGCCCACCACAACGCCCGGCCATTTTTTGGTTGTAGCCATCATTGTTGTTTGGTGGGCCCGGGCTGGGGATTCGAACTCGCCACCTTAGGTGTATGTGGCTGGCGCCTTAGCCGATTGAGCCACAGGCGCCGAGCCGCAGAACCCTTTCTCAAATGAAATTTTTTTTTTTTGAGACAGAACCTCAAGCTATCCCCCTTGCTAGAGTGCTATGCATCACAGCTCACAACAACCTCCAACTCTTGGGCTCAAGTGATTCTCCTGCCTCAGCCTCCCAAGTAGCTGGGACCACAGGTGCCCGCCACAACGCCTGGCTATTTTTTGGTTGTAGCCGTCATTGTTTTGGTGGGCCCAGGCTGGATTTGAACCCACCACCTTAGGTGTATGTGGCTGGCGCCTTAGCCACTTGAGCCACAGGCGCTGAGCCTCAAATGAAAATTTTTGCCAAATTTCAGTCATATATATATTAGATGCTTGGCCTCCCCCTTTTCCTCAGGAGCAACTCATGCCCTGGATATCGCCCATCCCATCCCCAAATATGGATTAATGCTCTTGTTTTCCCCAGAGGAGCAAAGTCAAGTCTGTAGTTATTCTGAAAGCGTTTCATATGTAGAGTTTGGCACAAAAATCAAAAAGCATCAGCGTCTGGGATTGAAGGTAAAGGAGTCGTCATAATGCTGATGAGGCTGACCCTGGCTTGGTCTGTGCTGGTCTGTTATGTAATGTGGTAGATAAACAAGAGGAAACAGCTTCCAAGTCTGATGGACATGTGTGCTTTTTGAATCCAACCAGATAGGTGTGTTTTCTCAAAACCAGTATGATTATAAGAAAAGATTATAGAGATTTCTGAGGTAAGTATGTTATTAGAAAGGTGTGATCTACTTAGAATCTTGAAAATGAGAAAGACTAATTACCACTGTCTTGGTAGAGATAATTATTCCAAATAGTAACTCATAGCATTGGGTCTGACTATAAGAGGAATACTGGAGGTGAAATTATCCCAGAAAATCCAGGATGATTGGCCTTGGTGTTTGTATTACCATCGCAACTCTGGTGGCAACTTGATTGCCAGTGTGAATTTTGCTGTTTGGGAAAGAAGGTAAATTGAACCGTGGAGACTGTTTTGGTTTTCTTGCAAATTATAGTTCTCAGTGTAACTTAATAAATCAACATTCTGCCTGAGTATGTATGAGTCAGTTCCCAGACAGGGTTCACTGAGGAGAGCTGATAGAGAGTTCAGTTCCCTTATAGGCTGAGGTGCTGACATTATGTTCTTGCTGTTGGCCATCTCCCTGCAATGCACAGGATGGATTGCAACTGACTTGCCTTCTTGATATTTCTATAATCCTTTGGACAGGTTGTGAGTCTTGTCCTGGTATTTCACCTCTAAGTCAAGCTTACCAAAAACTTAACAGCATGATAAAGAGTTCTTGTGTCCACCTGCCTTCATTTGTGTCCGGGTTCTACCTATTAGCTGTGAGTCCATGTGCAAGATTTTTTTCCCCCAACCTCTCAGCAAAGTGCTTTTTGTTATGTTTCACTCAGTTTTCTTTATCATGAAATTCTTAACCTCATAGACGAGTTGTGAGGATTAAGTGAAAACGTGAGTAAAATGCATATAACAGTGCTCAGCATAGAGCCAGGTACATGAAGTGTTAGCTAATTATTGCTGCTGCTGCTGTTCTTTTACCAGAGCACTCAGGTCTGGGGAAGACCCAGGCCGTGGTTCCAGGCCATTGTTCGCTTCCTGTCCTCTCTGCGTAGTGCACTGGCTAAATTTCTTGTGGTTGAGTGCTGCCAGAAAGAGCCTTGGAGTCTGCTCACAGAGCCTCTGGGATGTCTGCAGGGGAGCCAGTGGGCAAGCCTGGAGGAGGTACAGTCGTTGCAAAGATGGGCCAGGAACTGGGGCTCCGGCTAGGCTGTGCTGGGTGGAGGAACGGGTTGGTGATGTGTGTTTGCTGGTCAGTGGAGCTCTCACGTAGCATTTTTGGATAATTTCTGCATGCCCTAGGAAAAGGATAAAGAAAACTTTTTATTTTTCTTCCTAAATTCTTTTTTCTTTTCCCCAGGATGTTTTCTCCCTGCTTTAAAAACTCTATTGCATATTTCCCCCAGTGTATTGGCTCCACAGAACACTGAAAATAACTTCGTGTTGTTACCACTGATGGGAGCTTGTGAAATAGTGTGGTCTCTTTGTTTAGTACTCTTTCAGCTTCAGATCTAGTGAAATGAGTTTGGGCAGCATACCTGTTTGATATTATAGTTACTATCACAATATATGAAATTGTATGACAACATATAAAAAACGGGTTATCAAGGACACATGCTTGAGACAATGGGCAGATGTGTGCTTGATAGTGGATATCCTAAAGTTCAGATTCAAGGACAGGTGGAGGTGATGAACTTGGGGCATCACCCACCACATTTTTATTTGATCTCTTTTATTTAAGAGTGATTTTTTTTTTTTTTATTGTTGGGGATTCATTGAGAGTATAAGAAACCAGGTTACACTGATTGCATTTGTTAGGTAAAGTCCCTCTTGCAATCATGTCTTGCCCCCAAAAGGTGTGGCACAGACCAAGACCCTATCCCCCTCCCTCCTTCCCTCTGTTCTTCCTTTCCCCTACTCTACACTCCTCCTTTCTCTCTCTTCTCTCCCCTTCCCCTACCCCCACCGTGTCATTAGTTGTCATTAATTGTCCTCATATCAAAATTGAGTACCTAGGATTCTTCTCCATTCTTGTGATGCTTTACTAAGAATAATGTGTTCTACTTCCATGCAGGTTAATACAAAGGTTGTAAAGTCTCCCTTTTTTTTTTTTTTTTGCTGTTTTTGGCCAGGGCTGGGTTTGAACCTGCCACCTCCTGTATATGGGGCCGGCGACCTACTCCTTTGAGCCACAGGTGCTGCCCCAAGTCTCCGTTTTTTAATGGCTCAATAGTATTCCATGGTGTACATATACCACAGCTTGTTCATCCATTCCTGGGTTGGTGGGCATTTAGGCTGTTTCCACGTTTTGGTGATTGTACATTGAGCTGCAATAAACAGTTTAGTGCAAGTGTCCTTATGATAAAAGGATTTTTTTCCTTCTGGGTAGATGCCCAGTAATGGGATTTCAGGATCAAATGGGAGGTCTAGCTTGAGTTCTTTGAGGGTTCTCTATACTTCCTTCCAAAAAGGATATATTAGTTTTCAGTCCCACCAGCAGTGTAAAAGTGTTCCCTTCTCTCCACATCCATGCCAGCATCTGCAGTTTTGAGATTTTGTGATGTGGGCCATTCTTGCTGGGGTTAGATGGTATCTCAGGGTGTTTTTGATTTGCATTTCTCTAATAATTAGGGATGATGAGCATTTTTTCATATGTTAGCTATTCGTCTATCTTCTTTTTTTTTCTGAGACAAAGCCTCAAGCTGTCCCCCTGGCTAGAGTGCTGTGGCATCACAGCTCACAGCAACCTCCAACTCC